CCTGCTGGCGTTGCCGCTGTCACCGGAGAGCAGCATCCAGCGCTTCGCCCGCGAAAGCAAGTCTCGGGCGCGGTGGGGAGGGAGCCTCGATCCTCCTCCTCCTCCCCCTCCTCCTCCTCCTCCTCCTCCTCCTGCGCCCCCTCCTCCTCCTCCTCCTCCTCTTCATCCTCCTCATCCTCCTCCTCCTCATCCTCCTCCTCGTCCTCCTCCTCCTCCTGCGCCCCTCCCGCCCTTCCGCCCTGCATCCCTTTCCTCCTGGAGGCCTTTACCCACTCATGTCCTTCTGGTCCTCGTCCTGGTCCTGCTCCATCCCTATTGCTGGCGTTCGCTGGGCTGGAGACTCACTCACCCCTTCTGTTCCTAAAGCTCGAAAATCCGTACACTTACACGCATGGAGGGTGGCTTCTTTTTGAGTGTGGATCTCGCCTTGGTGCTGCGTGCACTCGTCTTCAAAAAAACAGCGGGTACACTTATGGAACGCGGCTTATTTATTAACACAGGGCTGTCCCCTTGGAGCCGAGCGAATCCGCCTCAACAAAAAAACGGGAAGGCGGGCTAACCTTATGAAGAAAATCCTGGATGCCTCGCGCGGCAACTTGAGACCCGATTTACGTCGGATCCACGTCGGATTTGCGTCGGGATCACGTCGGATTTACGTCGCTGCATCGCCGCGCGAGCGTCGACCCATAGCTTACGGAACTGACAAGTGGACTAGATCATAGTACTATCACGCGCCGCGCGAGGCCTCGAGGATTTCCATCATAACTGACCTTTCAAACTGAGCAACAGGGAACAAGTCTCAGCCTAAGATAACCCCTCATACATTCAAACACTGCTTCTCTTAGTTCTTGGCTGGATTGCTCCGCGTACGCGTCTTACCTCATCAGTGTGAGTTTTGTAGTTGACAGTTCCAGGGCCCAGGGACGGCCTCAGGCTCCCGAAAACCACAATGCACTCCAAGACCCTCTCGCTCCAGAAACCTGCTTGGATCACCATGGGGGTTGCTCTTGGGACCGTGGGGATATAAGTAGAAGCTGAAGCGCGGTGTGTCTGGCCAGACCTAGCTTACAAGCGGGCCACGGGTGCCCTAAGTGGCTTAGGGGCCCAATAAGCTGGGCTCAGTGGGCCCCGCCCACTTCGCGGAGTCATAGACCCTTCTCAGCAAGTTTGGGCACCTGCAAGCCACGTTTAAGCTGACCTGGAGGATTGGAGGATCGGAAGAAGAATCGGGGATGGACAGAACCCCCTTTAGTAAAACCCGGCTTAGTGAAAACGACCTCGGGCCCAAACCTGGCGGGCGCAAGCCTGGAAAATGACGGCCGCGGCGCCCTCTCGAGAACCGAAAACGGACAGTTCACCAATCGACGCGTCAGGGGGTGGGGATTCTGCCCACCCCCGATGTCAGCTAACCTGGAGGATTGGAGGATCGGAAGAGAAGGGAAGAGGAGGGAGCCCCAGCCCAAGACCACCCCTGAAAAAGAGTGCCACCCCTATCTCAGCTAGACTGGAGGATTGGAGGATCGGAAGAGAAGGGAGGAGGAGGGAGCCCCAGCCCAAGGCCACCCCTGAAAAAAAAGTGACACCCCCGAGCTCAGCTAGCCTGGAGGACTGGAGGATCGGAGGAGAAGGGAGGCGGAGGGAGCCCCAGCCCGAGGCCACCCCTGAAAAAAAAGTGTGCCGCGCCCGAGGCCGCCGTGGCACACCAAAAGGAGAGCGGCGCTCGCCCCAGCCGCACGCCGCCCCTCGGGCACGTCCCGCGAGGTGCCCTGGAGAGCACTCAGAGACAGACAGCACATGCACCATTCTTAAGTCGGGCACGTCCTTCTCTACAGGAGGGATCTTCGGAAATAGCCAAACATCGTACGGGGCGATGTCTTGCATATGTTTGATTACTCATTGGAAATGTTCGGGTTATTTTTCATTGTTCGTCCAGAGCCCGCCTGTAGGAGGACATGCCCGACCTAACACAAGCACGAAACGTGCAATTCGAGGCAGAGGGAGCAGGAGGGGGACGGAGAGGACCATACACGAGAGGTCATAGAGGCCTCCCAGATGGGGTCGGAGCAGATGGGGTGGTCGGAGGATCGCGCCGCATCGCCGATGCATCGGCGACGCATCGGCGATGCACCGGCGATGCACCGGCGATACCCCGGCGATGCGTCGTCGACGTCGGCGATGTATCGGCGACGCCAACGTGAGGCAAATCGGTCCCCACATCGGACCGCATGGGCGATGCATCGGAGATGTGGCGCGATCCCCCGACCCCATCCCGTCGGACCCCATCTGGGGGGCCCAGAGGCAGAGAAACAACAGGCGCTCGGGGGCGGCACGCAATGGTCGCTGCTGCTCATCCGGGGCCCCTGCGAGCGGACGCGGATGGCAAGGGCCAGATCGCTCGCCGCCGCTCGGGCGCCCCTTCCCCGCGCATGGCTTGACTCCGCGCGCAAGCTTCCCCGATGGTCGCCGCCTGGGAAGCATGCGAACGTCCGAGCGATGCCCAGATCACTGCAAACGAGCCTGGTCGAGTCTGGAGCGTCCCAGCAGGCCACCCCACGTCGCGCCTAGAGGCGCGTCCAGCGAAAAATGCGTCCGCTGTGAGCGAGGGAGGAAGAGGAGGAGGAGGAGGAGGAAGAAGAGGAGGAGGAGGAGGAGGACGACGAGGAGGAGGATGGAGGAAGAGGATGAGGAGGAGGAGGAGGCGGGGGGAGGAGGGCGGAGGGGAGGATAATTTGTTTCATCAACCATGCACTTCATCCCTGGTCAGGCCAGGCCAGCGCCGCCACCACGAAGCCCGCGAGGAAGAACACGACGACCCCGAGGAGAGAGCAGGGAGGAGAGGAGAGGAGGAGGAAGGAGGAGGGAGGGAGGAGGGAGGGAGGAGCAGGCATGCGGCTCGCTTCGAGGGCAGGGCACCCCTTCTGAGGGCGGCTTGGGCACTGTCGTGGGCCATCCCGCTCCGGGTGCGTCCATGCGGCCAGACTCGCTTCCCGCTCGGCGTCGTCGTCGTCCTCCCGTCCCCCTCGTCATTCTCTCTCACACACGAGAGCTTGTTTCCGCACGCACGCACACGACATCAAGCAGCACTGCGCGATAGTCACCGTGACGTGGGGACGCACTGGCCGGGAACACGCGGCGGCATCCACCACGAAACGCCACAGGAGGGAGGAGAGAGGGGAGGCAAGCAGAGAGACCTGGAGGAGAAGAGGGGCAGGGGTGTTGTATGGAGGTCCTCATACGTCTACAAATGCAACACCAAAACACGACGGCAGCCAAAGGAAAGAAATGAAGGAAGAGAACGACAGCGAAGAGAGAGAGAGAGAGAGAACAAACAAAAAACAACAACAATAAACAAACAATAACAACAAGCAACAAAAAAACAAGAAAGACAGAGAGGCTCTTGAAGCAGAGTCGAAGGTAAACCAAACCTTTTCGGCGTAGATCGTGCAAGCCGATGCCTCAAACAAAGCATCGCCATCTTGTGTCTGGCCCCTGAGACCCGAACATGACGAAAAGCCCACAAACTATACGACTTCATGTTTTTTTTTTCTGGTGTTTCTTTCGTTGCCGCGTTCCATTCTGAAAAAGAAGAGAGGCGGGAGGATACAGTCGAGCATCGTTGATGCATCCTGCGTTTACTCTGGACCCGCATTCTCCTCCTCCTCCTCCTCCTCCTCCTCCTCCTCCTCCTCCTCCTCCTCCTCACCCCTTCTCTTCCTCAGAGATCTACTTCCGAACCTCCTCAGGGGGGCGTTTTGACAAGACTCTGATTGGACGTTTATGGCCGAACCTCCTTCTCCTCCTCCTCCTCTTGTCCTCGCGGCCCTCGATCCTCGAGCACCCTTGAGAGGAACCCACCGGTTGCGACGAGGAACCTCCTGGATACGATACATCTATATATATATATATATATGAAGAGATATACAGAATTCGAGATCCTCAATCACTCTCCTCCCTGGTTTACCTGACACGGCAGCCCCTGACGGCGGCTGTCTCTCCTCTTTGGGATGAGCCCTCCTCTCATGTTTACTGGGCCCCTCTAGACTCCCGAGCGAGAACAGCCATAAACATCATCTGGCAGAGGTCCGCGCAGATTTCTTGGATCGGCGCTGGACCCCCTGGCGGCGCCACCGAAATCGCCACCGACGCACTCCGCGCACGGGAGGGGGGTCAGCGCCGATCCGCGCCAGGGGCAGTCTTGGAGGCCCCGCCACTCCAAAAAATCGGCGCGGGCCTCCGAAAGATCATGCTTATCCTACTTATTATGATTCGCGATGTCGCCCGTGACCCGCCCCGTCCCCCCCTCTGCCCCTCTTGGTCGCGTCACGATTCGCGCAGGCGCCGCCCGGGAATGAGCCATTCCTCAAGTCGGCTGCACGCAAGAGTGACCCTGGGTAAGAGACCTTTGGTGCGCGGCTGTTGGGGGGCCGCGTGGAAGCCAAATACAAGCGCGCAAGACGCTACTAACGCATCGCGTTCGGCAATAGGGGGGCCCCAACGGGCCCGCACCAAAGGTCACTCCTGCGAGGGGTCACTCTTACGCGTAGTCGACTCAAGCATTCCCAGGCGGCACCGGCGCGAATCATGACGTGACCAGACCCCTCCCCCAGGTGGGCGACGATCAGAAACGGGCCTTGCGCGAGATGACACAGCGGCCTTTCGCGGGGGCTTACGCGGGCAGCCAGCGCGGCACGCCACACGAGAGCTGAGGGCGCTCACGCGCGACCTTACGCGGGCAGCTCACGCGCCAACGTCGGCGAGGACGACCCCATTTTTTTGCCTCGCTCGGGTCACGCTCGTTATCGCCATGGTTAAATCGGGCGTGTCCCTCTACAGGAGGAATACTCGAACATAGCCAAAGAATGGGGACGGCTTGTTGTATCGATGTTTGAAGGTGTTTTGACCATGTACGACTTGTCCAACAAAGCCTGCCTGTAATTAGGAGGACATCCCCGACCTAACGCCAGGGGATAAACAAAAAACAGCCTCCTGCGATGCTCAGCCGCTGACGCCCCCCCCACCCCTGGCCGCGGCCTTCCACGCGGTCGGCGCTGTGGGCCGCCGGGCCGACCTGGCCAGCCCACGCCCGCGGAGGCGAGGGCGGGTGCGGCGACTGGGTAGGCAGAAGAAGAAACGCTCCGTGGGGGCCACGCTCGTCCCTAAACTAGACATTCCCAGCCCCCCTCGGGTCGTGCAAAAATCACAACGAAAAGTTTTTCGCCGTTTTCGGCCCCTGGGGGCCCTTACCGAGCTTCGGGACCGTCAAAAAACGACGCGGGATGAAAAACTGGTCTCGGGGAAGGGGTCCGGACCTCCCTGGGGGCCGCGTCATGACAAAATCATGACGTCGGTGGTCTGGGTTCAGAGGCCCAGAGGCGATCCTCAAGGGGAGGATCCAGAACGCCTGGGGACGCTGGCCCCAAAGCTACACCGAAAAAAACTGGTGCACTGCCCGAAGCGCCAAGCTCGGGCACGAGTTACCCGAAGCTAGGCCCACAAACATCCCTGCACAATCGCCCTCTACGTAGCAGTTGCTCGAACATGCTTGCTCCTGACCGGAAAGGCGCTGGGGAGGCAGAGGAGGGGGGAGGCATCGAGGAACAACGAATGACACAAGCATTGCCTGTCCGAGGTCCGCACGACTTGCTTGGATCAGCGCCGGGCCCTCCCGGCGGCGCCTTCGGCGCCGCCCCTGGCCCGCTCCGCGCACCGAGGAGGGAGGTCCGGCGCCGATGCGAGAACTCCGCGCGGACCTCCGACCGCTTATGCTTGTGCCATGCTTTGGTCCTCCAAGGCAGGAGAGAGGAGACCAGCAGGAAGGAATCGGGTCCTGCAGTTTCTTCGCCGCTTCGAGGCCCCTGGGGCCCTCCCTGGGCACCAGGGGCCATCAGAAAACGACCCTCAGGACGAAGAGCTGGTTGCGGGGAAGGCCGCATGGGTCCAGGACCCGTCTCTTTCAGGACCCCGCTCCTTCGTGGCGAGTGAAGAGAAGAGGCCCCAGGTACTGCTCCCTCCTCCTCCTCCTCCTCCCCCTCCCCTCCTCCTCCCCTCCTCCTCCTCCTTCCTCTCCTCTTCCCCCCCCCCCCTTTCTTCCTCCTCCTCCTCCTCCTCCTCCTCTCCTCCTCCTCCTCCTCCTCTCCTCCTCCTCCTCCTCTCCTCCTCCTTGTCCTCCTCCTCACTCCTCCTCCGCCTCCTCCTCCTCCTCCTCCTCCTGCCTCCTCCTCCTCGCCTCCTCCTCCTCTCCTCCTCCTCCTCCTCCTCCTCCTCCTCCTCCTCCTCCTCCTCCTCCTCCTATCCTCCTCCTCTCCTCCTCTTTCGAGACCCTTTCGAGAAGGGCTCCACAGCGCGGGCCGCGCCCAAGCCCATCTCCTCCTCCTCCTCTCCTCCTCCTCTCCTCTTCCTCCTCCTCCTCCTCCTCCTCCTCTCTCCTCCTCCTCCTCCTCCTCCTCTGCACTGGCCACAGAGCTCAGTTGTCCACTCGACCGAAACGGCCGCAGCGTCACCTCCCCTCCCCCGCCTCCTGCCACTCCTCCTCTCCTCCTCGCTCCCCCCCCCCTGCCTCCGCCAGAGCCCGCTCCGCAGCCCGCTCTGGGAGCGGGGCTGCTCCCCCCCAAACCCTCGAAGCTCGAAAATCGAAGGGGGGGGGCAGCGCTTGAGGCCCCTTATGGGGGCTGCGCGGGGGGCCACGCCCGGGAGGAGGGGAGGCTCTCCGCGCGTGCTCCACTAGTCTGGAACGCTCGGACCCGACCCCCCCCCTTCGGGGGGCCTCCTCTTCCTCCTCCTCCTCCTCCTCCTCCTCCTCCTCCTCCTCCACAATGACTCAATATGAATACTACTCTCCTCCTTCCCCTGATGACGGGTTGGGAGTGTTCGCCCCCCCCCCACGTACTGTTGTTTTACACAGGATTCCCCGGAGTTGGGTTTTCGCCTGCATTGTTTGTCACAATGCTGCTCTCGCTGAGGCGCCGGCCTCATTTTCGGGCCCCGCTCGTTCCGAATCGTGCTCCCGCTGCAGCGCTGGCCTCATTTCCGTGCTTCCGCTCGTTCCGAATCGTGCTCCCGCTGCAGCGCTGGCCTCATTTCCGCGCTTCCGCTCATTCCGAATCGTGCTCCCGCTGCAATGCTGGCGTCATTTCCCGTGCCATGCCACGGCATGCAATGCAATGCTAGGTTGCGTTCCGCTGCGCGATGCCATGCCTTCAGCTGAAGCTGTGATATGCACTGCTTAAGTGCCACGTCGTGCTATGCCATGCTACGCTTTGATCTTCAACGCCATGCTGTGCAATGTTATGTTCGGGGCCGCTGTGCGATGCCATGCTTTGTGTTGCAAAGCTTTGTGATGCAATTCTTCACTACGCCACGCCACGCCATGCTGTGACATACCACGAGTGGAGAGGGGATATACGCCATGGTAAGGGATGGGAGGGAGGGGTAGGATGTCAGATATGACGCGAGCGCACCTAGCTTGTCCTTCTCCTCCTCCTCCTCCTCCTCCCTCCTCCTCCTCCTCCTCCTCCTCCTCCTCCTCTTCCTCCTCCTCCTCTTCCTCCTCCTCGGGTCGCCTACGGCCCCGCTGGGGGGCGCCAGGAACCTCCCCGGGGCCCGATCGGGACGTGGGCGGCCGGGGGCTATAGCCCCTGCCATCGCTGCCTGAATCCCTTGGTCCCGCTGTCCGGCCTACCCCCGTCGGTCGGCACATGTGCCGTCATCCCCGTCGGGTTTCACAGCAGCTGTGCGCACCTCGAGGGGGGCAGGCTAGTGGCGCTGAGGAGTCGTGGCCCAATAGGGATGAGTCTGACGATGCTGACAGCAGCAGGCAGGACCACATGCAAGTGCAGGTGCACATAGTGCAGGTGACCTGCGGGGGGGGGCTGCAGAGGTCCCCCACTGGAAAGAGGCAGATCGGCCCAAGACGAGCCTGCTGCAACAAGCCTGCGATAACACGAACAAGCATTGAAGCCTGTTCGTGCAACTTGAAATCCTTCTTCGTTGTGATGAAATGATGAAATGGCCTGGCCTTTCTTGAACTCCCCGAAGGAGGAAGATACAGGTGACCATACAAACTCTCTCCACCGTATTTTTGTTGTGCCCTTGCAGCCTGAAGCATGCCGCGCTTCCTTGAACTTCTCCTCCAGACTTTCTCCTCGGGGCTCCACCATCGCCTACACGCCAGCGTGGCCCAGTGCGAAGGACCTCTGGTGCGCGGCCTGCGGATCGCTGCGCCTGGTGCGACACAGTGGCAGCCTGCGTGCCCAGGTCCGACACCCGAGAGCCGCGCATCCCGAGCCACTTTTGTAACACCCCCGGTCCCCGGAAAAGGCTCCCAGATGCCGAAACGGGTCACAGACCATCCGTCGCGAGTTCTGCCTCGATCCGAGCTGAGGAGCAAAATCGTCGTAAGCATGAACTTTCAAGCTCCGCGCGGACTTCTTGGATCGGCGCTAAGCCCCCCTGGCGGCGCCTCGGGCGCCGCCCCCGCAGCGCTCCGCGCCCCCGACGAGGGTCCAACGCCGATCGAAAACATCCACGCCGAACCCCACAAGTTGTCGCTTATGCCCGGTCCCTTCTTCGACCGACGTGCTCTGGGTTCTTCTTGTCTGCCTCCCTCCCTCACGAAGGCCTTAACGAGTTCTGCCATCCCTCGACTCGCGCTGGCAACGACGTGCTTCATATTGCCCCGGGGATCTCCCGATTTACCTCGACCTGCCTGAATTTACCTGGACGTACACGCATTTGCCTCGATCGATATGTATCTACCTCGATTGATATGGCTTGGTTTCCCACATGTCGGTGGGCGACAAATCGTCAAGCCCTCAACTTAGCTGCCACGAAACGTAGCACACAACACCTCGGGTGCTGACACGGAGCTGAAGGCGTAGACTGAAAACGTAGGTCTGGAGCGATACGTTCGCCAAGATGTTGGCCAACCCGTGCCGAACAAACACGCAGCGTGTTAACACTGCATGATCTGCACAACGAATCGCCCATGCAGTTGAGACAGGAGGGAGGGGGGAGGAGGGCAAAAGAGGGAGAGGAGGAGGAGCGAACGTCGCCTTGAGGTGACGTCCTGTCTGGATAGGCGATGCGCGGCCCAGCGCCGCTCGAAAGGTGCGCAGGGAGCGTTAGAGCGTGCGGAGCGGCGCAGATGACGGTGTAGCCCTGCGTCTAGTCCAACGAAGAGAGGAGGAAGGCGGGGGAGGAGGAGGAGGAAGCGGAGGAGGCGGAGGAGTAGGAGGAGGAGGAGGAGGAGGAGGAAGAGGAGGAGGAGGAGGGGGAGGAAGGAGGAGAAGAGGAGGAGGCGGAGAGAAGGAGGGGGAGGAGGGGGAGGGGGAGGAGGAGGAGGAAGGAGGAGGAGGAGGATGCGGAGAGGGAGAGGAGAGGTAGGGAGGAGGAGGGAGGACGACGAGGACGACGAGGACGACGAGGAGAAGGACGACGAGGACGACGAGGACGAGGAGGAAGGATCATACCCTCCCGCCCCGCACCCGAGGCCGTGCCGCCGCCGCGCAACCTCCTCCCCCCCCCCCTTGGCGGCCTCGGCGGCCTCGCCCGGGGCGGCCTCCTCCCACCGCTGCGCCAGGGCGGCCCGAGCCTCCTCGGCGCAGCGCCGCGCCACGCCGAGGCGGCCACGACGGCGAGCGGCGGGCGGCGAGCGGCGAGGGCGGCGGCTGCACTGTTGGAGGCCTCCTAGATGGGGTCGGAGGATCGCGCCGCATCGCCGATACATCGGCGATGCATCTGCGATGCATCGGCGATGCACCGGCGATGCATCGCCAACGTCGGCGATGCATCGTCGGCGACGTCGGCGTGAAGCAAGTCGGGTTCCACATCGAGCCGCATCGGCGATGCATCGGGGATGCGGCGCGATCTTCCGACCCCATCTACTCCGACCCCATCTAGGAGGCCTGGACTCAAGCGGTGTGCGTTCAGAGCAGGAACTCTGCACAACCACCGGAGAACGTGGCATTGACAGCGCAGCTCCGAACACGGGTGAGATGCGCGGGCGAGCAAGAACACAGCAAAGCCCCAGGCAGCGAAGCATTGACCGCGTAGCTCAGCATCAACACAGTGGCCGGGGAGGAGCCCCCGCGACATGTCCACGAGGGTTGCTCCACCCCAGCGGGTATTGACAGAGGGCGCGTTGGTAGCACAAAGGCAGTACCACAACACGTTGAGTCTCAGGCGGCGACGCATGACAGTGACGGCGACGGCGTCAGCGAAGGCAGCGGCGGCGGCGACGGAGACGGCGACGGCGCGCACGCGGGAGGTGGGAGGTGGGGAAACTAAAAGATACCGGTACCGCTACTCGCTCCTCCAAAGACCTCTCCTGGATTGCGCTCTGACCAGCGTTTCTCGGCGAATCCGGCGGTGGTAACGAGGGCCTTCCAGGAGGCCCCCCAAAAAAACAACATGTAACAACAACGAGGCAAGGGTAACGGTAGCAGTACCCTTCCTGGTGGTTGTCGGCCCCTCACTCGAGCCGCCGGCGGCTGTTCGGGATCATCCGGGCATCCCAGGCAAGCTCTCGGCGAGGCGCAGCTGCTGGAAAGCATCCCGAGGCTGGACAACCGCCGAGAACCTACGGAAACGCCCGGAAATGTCAGGTTCGCACCTCCTCCTCCTCCTCCTCCTCCTCCTCCCGCCTCCTCCTCCTCCTCCTCCGCCTCGCTCCTCCTCTCCTCCTCCTCCTCCTCCTCTCCTCCTCCTCCTCCTCCCCCCTCCTCCTCCCCGCTCCCTCCTCCCCCTCCCCCGCCTCCTCCTCCCCCCTCCTCTTTTCCGGCTGGATCTGACATACATCCCAACTGAATGCGCCCGCGCGAGGCGGCGCCCGCGGGCTCAGCGCAGCACGCCGCGCCCGAGCCGCTCGCTCGGCGCTGCGCGCCCGGCCGAGCGAGCGCAGGGGCCGCCCCCCGGGCCCCCTCGGCGGCCGCCGGCGGCCGGCGGCGGGCGGCCTGCGCCGAGGCGGCCCCGCCCCTCTGGGTGGCGGCGGCCGTCGGCGGCCGCGGGCGGCGTTCGGCGGCCTGCGGCGGCCTGCGGCGGCCTTCGGCCCCGCGGCGGCCCTGCGGCGGCCTCTCGGGAGGCCGTCGGAGAGGCCTTGTGGCGGCCGTGGTCGGCCGCGGGCCGTCGGCGTGGCAGCCGTGCCGACGCCAGTCGGAGCAGGGCGGCTTCGCCACACGGGGGGTTCGACCGTCGGCCCCTGGGCCCCTCCCAGGGTCCAAACGCACCAGGCGTGGCGGCGAGGGGCCCCAGGGCGTGGCGGCAGCTGAAAGTGCATCCCCCGCGGCTCTCGGGGTGGGAGCCTTCGGCAAGGCGGCGCGCAGGCTGCTGCCACGCGGAGTCCGACCGGGCGGCGCGCGGCGCACGCGCGCCGCTCCGCCAGGGGCGTGCTGGCGCGTGTGCGCCCGCTGCCTCGCGGACGTCCGCGGCGGGCACCGCCATCCCACCTGCAGCTGCGTGTTCCGCGCTGCGTCCAGCAGTGGCGACGAGGGCCCCCCCCGAAGGCCAACTTCCGCGGCGGCGGGCGCCCCCACGGCGCGCGCGGCGAGGCCGCGGCCTGGGACCGCCCACGGCTCGACACAGAGGGAGCGACCCCTTCGGGCCGAGAGGCCACGCGGCTGGCCGAGAGCCCCGTCGCCCGCGCTGCCTCCGCGCCGCTTGCGCGGAGGGGGGGGAACGTCGTCGTCGTCGTCGTCGCCGTCGTCGTCGTCGTCGTCGCCGTCGTCGTCGTCGTCGTCGTCGCCGTCGCCGCCACCGCCGCCGCCGCCGCCGCCGCCGCCGTCGTCGTCGTCGTCGTCGTCGTCGTCGTCGTCGCTCGGAGAAGGAGGCAGATGAAGAGAGGAGGAGGGGGAGCTCCTATCACTCGCAGTGCCTCCTCCGCGCCGCTTGCGCGCGGGGGGGGGGGGACGCTGAGACGCAGCCAGGACCGGAACACACTCGGACCGGGACAGATCGGGGATCTCCGAGGTCTGGCGGTTCTGGAGGATGTCTCGGGCGCCGCGGCTGTCCCAGAGCGCTCGGGGCCCCGAGAGCGCTCCGGGGACCGACCTGGAACTACACGTCGTTCATTTCTAATCGTGCTCATTTCTGAGTGTGCTCGTTTCTAATTGTTCCTGGCCTCCTAGTGGCCAGGAAGAGGCCCTGGATAGAACGATTAGAAATGAAAGGATCTTGGCCCGCCCAAAAATTAAACAATTCTCGAAGAAACAAACATGAACAGTGTGTACGGCCAGGCCTGGGATGGAAGAACACCCTTCGAGAACGCGAGACCCTCAGCGCGCCAAACCGAGGAGCGTTCGAGGGTGCCCTCTCTCAGGATGCACCAGGACATCCAACGAACAAAAAGAGCATGAGGGTACCCTCCGCGAGCCGACCTCGACCTCGCAATCGAGAAAAAGGATCGGCGATCGAAATCAATCGGATCGGCGGAAATCGGCAGCCCGGTCGGGAGAAAACGAATCGGCGGGAATCGGCATGCGAGTAAGCCACCTTTGAGGAATCGGCATCCACATCGGAATCCGAAGCCGAATCGAATCGGCATCGAAAGCCATCGACACCGAATCGAGCCGCAGGAATCGAGATGGGCCATGCTCGCACCTCGCTCCGCCCTGCACTTCCCGGCCCGAGGCGCTGCCGAGCCCCACGGGCGCCGTCCAGAGAGGCGGCCCGCGCGGTGGAGGAGGAGGAGGAGGAGGAGGAGGAGGAGGAGGAGGAGGAGGAGGAGGAGGAGGAGGAGGAGGAGGAGGAGGAGGAGGAGCAGGAGGAGGAGGAGAAGGAGGAGCAGGAGGAGGAGGAGCAGGAGGAGGAGGAGGGGGGCCGGTCTCGCGGGGGGGCTCTCTCGCGGTGCCGTTGGGCATGGGGGGCCCACGGCGTGAGGCGGGGCGGCGGCGCAGTGCACGGGGGCGGCGCCTCGCAAACGCTCGGGCCTCGGGTGGCCTCCGCGGCAGCTGCCCGGTGCTCGGCCCGGCGCTCTGGACGGGGCGCTGAGCAATAGGACTACCCTTAAAGGCCCCGTGGAGGGGACCCACGTCAGGAGGGCCAGACGCATACGGGGCGCTGAGCAATACGACTACCCTTAGGCCCTGTGGAGGGGGCCCACGTCAGGAGGGCCAGACGCATTAGGGATACGGTCTATTTTGATGCAGATGTGTTAGACTAAACCACCCATGCGTCTGGCGATATCCCTTTGAGCCGAGGGCCTGAATTAGGTCACGACGCACGACGGATTCATGGTGTTATTCTGATTGGGGAAAGTGTTATGCTCAATGACGGGGGGGGGGGGGGCAATGTCCATCGCGCGACTATTCAGGTCTGAGCGCGCTTCCCGTCATCGGCCAGCGGCGCTTCGAGGAGCAGCATCAGGCGCCGCGTCTATTCCAGCGCGCTCCAGGACGCTCTGAGGGCGCTCAGGAAGGCTCTGGAGCTTCTTCTCCCTGCCCTGATCCCAAGAGAAGCCTAGAATCGAACCGATAAGTCAGATCGGCGAACGACATGCACCGGATTGGCGGAAAGCAGCAGACACGTTGGGAGAAGTCGAATGGGTGGAAGCCGGCAGGCCAGCAAGGCCTACATTGAGACACCGAAATCCAGATCGGAATCCGAAGTCGAATCGAATCGGAATTGATCAAGTCGAGTCGACTCGACACGGGGGAATCGAAACGAGCCCTGTAGCCCCGCCCGAAGAGGCCCTGCGGGCGCAGCTGGGCGACAAGCCCACCAACGCGCTGTCCTCGTTGTAGAGGTGCGCAAGCTTCCGCGCGACCTTCATCGTCGCCTGGTCCTCCACGGTGGGCTTCCACTGCCCCGCCTGGATCGGTACGATTAAAATCGGTACGGAAAACATGGGTACGAAGACTTACGGAATTTCCTGCTCATATTGGCAAGACTCGCAATCGGCGTCGCCGCGGACGTTGTGTATTCGGGACAGAAGGCCGCCCGCCCAACAGCGGCCGCTGTCGGTTTGGGACACAACGCGTGCTGTTGGGCATCGCATACATTTCTCCGTACCTTTCTCGGGCGTCCAGACTGGAGGTGTCAAGCTCCCAGATAGCCAACGATTATGTTTTTGTTGCTCGACGCTGGCGCTTTTTTACCGATTTCGGCCTCCTGGCCCTGGAACCATCAAAAACTGATCCAGGGCGGAAAAATCAACCGGAGAATGGGTCGGGATCTCTCGGGGCGCGCATTCCAGTACATTCGAGGACTTTCATCAGCGTTGGCGAAAACTCAGCGCGACGCCGTCGAAAGTGCAAACAACGCCGACGGTGACCCACGCCCCCGACGAATGCGACGTACGACGACGGCGACGCCGACGAGGTCTGCAACGAGGCCGACGACGCCGACGACGACGGCATATGCCCACGGTGCTGCCGACGACGGCGACGCCCGACGACGACGACGACAGCATACGCAGCTGATGCCGCCGACGACGCACGGCGACGCCGACAACGCCGGCGACGACGACCCTGGGGAGCCTCCGAGAAACGTGGGAAACCCTTGGAAAATCGTTGAAATAATCTTTCGAAATGCCATCGAGGTCGAGAACGTTTGGCAAAACCCGATACGCACGTAACCCTGAACCCGCTGGCTTCCGCCAGCTTTCGCTGGCGGAACTGCCCTCCGATTTTCTTCCGCCAGCCTTCCGCCGCCTTCTGCTGGGAAAGAAATGTCACATCCTCGATCCCTCGAAGGCGAGGCCCTTTTTGGAACGCCCCATTTGGGACTCGTCGACGTCGTCGAAAACCGTCGTCGTTGTAGCCAACGATCGGGAAACATCGACCTGGAATCGGCGATACTTCGCCGACAAGTCGGCGATAGGTCCCCGATGGCGAAAGCGCGCGCTCGTTGTCGCGTTGTGGGGGTCGTCGGGCACCTTTCTGAGATCTCTTGGCGGTTGGAGGTCTATGCGTTGCCCCCTGAGCCGATCCCCCCTTGCACTGCCCTCTGGCTTCCGCGTCATAACTCGGCTCTCCGGCAGCCGTTCGGGCCGATCTGGGCAACCCCGGGAAGGCCCTCGGCGAGGCGCAGCTGCTGGAGAGCAACCCGCAGCAGGAACACCGCGGAGGATCGCCCGAGAGCGCCCGACGGCCTCGCACCTCGAGCCTCGAGCCTGTCGCCCACCCTCTCGAGCCTATCCCCTCCTAGCGCTGCCCCCGAGCCGTCGTCATCGAGAGGCGACTCGTCGTCATCGAGAGTCGTCGCTTTCCCCACTCGGCGGCGATGCCGCCGAGTGGGGAAACCGAACATAACCCGTGCCGCTGTTCCCAGGACCTCTCCGGGGGGGTTTGAAGGGGCCCTGGGACACGCAAATACATAGACACAAATGACAGAATCCCCAAGGTTTTCTGATATTTTCTGGGTTTTTGTCTTCTCCCCCACTTCCCATATTTTCTCACATTTTCTTGGGGATTCCCCCCTGAGTGTTTTCTGACCAGAGTCTCGAGGCGAAGCCAGCCGCGGCGACGAGGGATTCCCATGGGAGGCCAAACAAGCGCAAACCCCACAAGGGTAGCAGCACCGGAACCCCGCTGCGTGGCTTTCGGCCCACACGTCGGGCCTCCGGCGGCAGTTCAGGACGTTCCGGGCATCCACGGAAAGCCCTCGACGAGGCGCAGCTGCTGGACAGCATCCCGAGGCTGAATCACCGGCGAGAGCCGACGGTATCGTCCGCAAGCGTCCGAACCGACCTGTCGACGGAAAACGTTGTGGACCACTCCTGAAGATCTTCAGGGGTGGTCCACAAAGTTTGCAGACGTCGACGTCGCAGACGTCGACGCCTGCAGACCCCGGGAACGCCCGAAACGTCTGTAAGCATCCCCAACCGACGACAAACGTCCGAAACGCACGAAGATCGAAGGAAACCGCTGAAAGTTTGGACACCCGAAATGGGTACCGAAAGAATGGGCAACATGCCCAGCAACAAATGTTGTCCCGAACCAACAGCGGCCGCTGTTGGGCGGGCGACCTCCTGTCTCGGATGGACACAGGCCGCGGCGGCGCGGACAGCGAGCCCTGTTCAGAATGAACAGGAACTGCTGTCGGGCATCGTACCCATTCTTTCGGTACCCATGTCGGGCGTCCAGAGAAATCCCCAAACGACCTCTTCCGGCCGGGGGGGGCGCCGCGCCTGCGCGGCGCCGCCCTCGCCCGCCGGGGGCGCCCGGCGCAGCCGGGCGGTGGCGCGCTCGTAGAGCTCGAGGCAACCCCGCAGGGCGCGGCCCTCGGACCTGGCGTCGTGCGGGTGGCAATGGGCCTCCTCCTCCTCCTCCTCCTCCTCCTCCTCCTCCTCCTCCCCCTCCTCCTCCTCCCCCTCCGCCTCCTCCTACTCCTCCACCTCCTCCTCCTCCTCCTCCTCCTCCTTCTCCTCCTCCTCCTCCTCCGGGGTGACCCACAAGGGCCAGGGGCCTGTCTCAAAAGGTCCAGCAAGCGCCACTACTGGCCCCTAGTGGGCCTTTTGAGAAAGGCCCTTTGTTCGGGTGGCAGAGAGGCCCAAAAGGGGCCCCTTTGGGAGCCAGCTGGTGCCCAAAACGGGCACTAAAAGGCCTCTTCAGAGCCTCTCTCTTCATCCCTCACGTGGGTCACCCCCCATTCCCAGACATCCGACGTGACGATTTGTTCGAGACACGGGCCGCCGACCTTCCGACCACTTCCCTGGGGCCGGCGTTTCACCCCGAGTCGTTCTTGGACGGTCCCGAGGCCTGGAGAGGGTCCAGAGAGGCCGAAAACGACAAAAAACGTCCGTCTCGAATTTTTCGCGACGCCCGATGTCTGGGTTGCCACCCGCCCGAGCGGTGGCCTTGCCTCGCTGCATCGAAAGTGCGTAAGCCATTGTAGGGGGCCGGGGCCGAAGAGGCCTGGATGGAGGGCTTCCTACAACGTCGTGGGCGGCGCTTGAGCTGGCACTGGTCCTCCTCCTCCTCCTACTCCTCCTCCTGCTTCGTCCTCCTCGTCCTCCTCGTCCTCCTCCTCCTCCTCCTCCTCCTCCTCCTCCGCCGTATCGATGGGAGGCGGGGGTAGGGTTCGAATTTCGCCACGTGTGCGACGGACTCCGAACCCGACCCCCGCTGCCGATCGAGCTGCTTGAATTGTTTATCGGCGAGGGTCGGGCTCGGATTTCGCCGCCGAGCTCGGCACGGGCAGAGGCGGCGCGGGAGGGGGAGGAGGGGGAGGAGGAGGAGGAGGAGGAGGAGGAGGAGGAGGAGGAGGAGGAGGACGAGGACGAGGAGGACGAAGAGGACCGCACGTAGCATAGGGGCAACGTGGGACTTCTCACCGACTGGCACCGATTGCCAGCTTGGCTTCTGGAGCTCCACGCCGACGCCTCCTGATGCCTGACAGTCTGAGCAGGCTTGCACTGCTGCAACCGATGATTGTCAAACTACCCTGGCAGTGCGACGCACACGCACCAGAGGAAGCCTGCTGTAGGGCGCTGCGCAGCTGCAGGGCCAGGAGTGACACGTATGGAAACAGCCTGGCGGCACACTGCACCAACGACGGGCAAGCCTGGCGGCGTCTCTGCCGCACCAGGCTTCAGCAGGCGAGCCCCTGCCGTCGGCCAGTGCAGCTGCGCGAGCTGGGGTGTAGGTCGCCCCACGAGGCCCACTACAGAGACCCTTGGCAGGGTGGGCCCTCACTGGCGCCCTAGGCCAAAGGGACCTGTCTACACCTGGGCAGGTGCCGAAGAGAGACATACAAACGACGTGGTACATATGTGTCCTCCTCTTCGCGAAGAGAGGCACACACACACACACACGCAGCAGCAGCCGTTGTCCCTCCGAAGAAGCGGGCCGAGCGGGACTGGCACTAGAAGAGGCTGGCTCGACAACAAGAGTAGATGTTTTGAGGCAGCGCATCAACGAACAACTGTCGACTGAAACCCGCCAGGTAAGTTGCTCTACGCTCCGCTAAGTCGGCGAACTCCTCCTGCCTCAGAGCGCGTCAAGCTTGCGCTTCACGTCGGGGCAGCGTCAAACAGGAGGAGTAGCATCGAGGTGGAGGAAGGAGGAGGAGGAGAAGGAGGAGGAGGAAGGAGGAGGATGAGGAGGAGGTCTAGGAGGAGCATCGAGGAGGCGGCAGGAGGCAGGAGGAGAATCGAGGAGGAGGTGGAGGTCGGAGGAGGAGGAGGCGGAGGAGGAGGAGGAGGAGGAGGAGGCGAACCGAGGAGGAGGTGGAGGTCGGAGGAGGCAGGAGGAGGCGGGAGGAGCAGTGGAGTCGTCGGCGTCGGCCTCGCCGACGGCATCTCGGCGTCGGGCCGCCTGGCCGTCGAGCAGCAGGAGGGGACGGCGCGGGGCAGAGGCGGGCGCCCCCGCGTCGTCGGTCGGCGTCGGGGGCCGCGTCGGCACTCGAGAGAGTGGAGGAGGGAGGAGGGAGGGGGTCGAGGAGGGAGGAGAGGGAGGGAGGAGGTCGAGGAGGAAGGAGAGGGGGGGGGAGGAGGATGAGGAGGAAGAGGAAAGAGGCAGGGGAAGGGAGCAGGGAGGAAAGGGTCGCTGAGGGAGGAGGAAAGAGGTCGAGGAGGGAGGAGGAAGGGAGGGGGAGAGAGGAGGAATGAGGTCGAGGAGGAGGAGGAGGAGGAGAAGGAAGGAGGTCGAGGAGGAGGAAGGGGTCGCTGAGGAAGGAGGAAGGGGCCTCGAGGAGGCAGGAGGGAGGGAGGGTGGAGGTTGAGGAGGGAGAAGGGTGGAGGAGGTCGAAGGCAGAAAAGAGAGCCGACGAGGGCGGAGGGAGGAGGAGGAGGACGAGGAGGAGAAGGAGGGAGGAGGATGAGGAGGTGGACGGAGGGAAGAGGGCCCTCGCCATTCCTGCTTCTCCATCTCCGCGCTCAGGCATGCTGTCCGACGCTGCGGTGGCGCCCGACCGTCTAAGAAGAGAAGAAGGGATGAAGGAAATGGATGGTCGAGAAAGAGGAACGATGAGAAACGAGGCGAGTAGGGCGAACGAGGAACATTGACGTCCTCGTTGTCGTCGGCGTCGTCGTTACCAGGTCGTAGTGGTAGTCGTTGGTCGTTGGCGGCGGCGGCGTCGTCATCAGGTCGCCGAGGGGGGTGAATATGACGAGGGGGGCCGAGGAGGAGCCGAGAAGGAGAAGGGAACGGAACGTTGCCGTCGTGGAGGGAAGGGGGAGGAAGAACAGGAGAAGGAGGCGAAGGAGGGGAACGAGGAGGAGGAGGCGCAGGAGGAGGAGGAACGTCGTCGTCGCTGTCGTCGTATGATGCTCCCCAGCACTACTCTCGGACCCAGAGGATTGG